TGACAGAAAGTCAACAAAGAAACAATGGATTTAAACTATACCCTAGAATGAATGGACTTAACAGATATTTACAGAACATTCTACCCAAAAACTGCAGAATATACATTCCACTCATCAGTGCATGGAACTCTCTCCAAGATAGACCATGTGATAGGCCACAAAACAAGCCTCAATACGTTTAAGAAAGCTGACATTATATCAAGTACTCTCTCAGACCACAGTGGAATAAAACTGGAAATTAACTTCAAAAAGAACCTTCAAAGCCATGCAAATACATGGAAATTAAATAATCTCCTCCTGAACGATCATTGGGTCAACAATGAAAGCAATGGAAATTTTAAAATTCTTTGAACTAAACAATAATAGTAACACAACCTATAACAATCTCTGGATACAGCAAATGTGATGCTAGCAGGAAAGTTCATACTCTTACATACCTATATCAAAAAGTCTGAAAGAGCACAAATAGACAATCTAAGGTCACACCTCAAGGAACTAGAGAAAAAAGACCAAACCAAACCCAAACCCAAACCCGGCAGAAAAAAAGGAAATAAAAATCAGAACAGAACCAAATGAAATTGAAACAAAAAAGAAATACAAAAATAAATGAATAAAAATCTGGTTCTTGGAAAAGATAAATAAAATTAATAGACCATTAGCAAGATTAACCAAGAAGAGAGAAGATCCAAATAAGCTCAACTGGAAAAAAAAAATGAGAGACATTACAATCAACACCACAGAAATATAAAACATCATTCAAGGCTAGCATGAACACCTTTACCTACATAAACTGGAAAACCTAAAGGAGATGGATAAATTCCTGGAAATACACAACCCTCCTAACTTAAATCAGGAAGAATTAGAAACCCTGAACAGAACAGTAACAAGCAGTGAGAATGAAATTATATTTTAAAAATCACCAGCCAAAAAATGTCCAGAACCAGGCAGATTCACAGCTGAATCCTAGTAGACATTCAAAGAGTTGGTACCAATCCTATTGACACTATTCCACAAGATACAGAAAGAGGGAATCCTCCCTAAATGATTCTAGGAAGCCAGTAGCACCCTAATATGAAAACAAGGGAAGGGCATAACAAAAAAACAATACAGACCAATATCCCTGATGAACACAGATGCAAAAATCCTTAACAAAATGTTAGCTAACCAGATCCAACAGCATACCAAAAAGATAATCCACCATGATCAAATGGGTTGCATACCAGGGATGCAGGAATGGTTTAAGATATGCAAGTCAATAAATACGATACACCACATAAACAGAATTAAAAACAAAAATCACGTGATAAACACAATAGATGCAGAAAAAGCATTTGACAAAATCCAATATCCTTTATGATTAAAACCCTCAGCAAAATTGGCATACAAGCAACATACCTCAATGCAATAAAAGCCACCTATGACAAACCCACAGCCAACATACTACAGAACAAGAAAAAGTTAAAAGTATTCCCTCTGAGAACTGGAACAAGACAAGGATGCCCACTCGCAACACTTCTATTCAACATAGTACTGGAAGTCCTAGCCAGAGCAATCAGACAAGAGAAATAAATCAAGCGCATCCAAATCAGTAAAAAGGAAGTCAAACCTGTTGCTGTTTGCTGATGATACGATTGTATACTTACAAAACCCTAAAGACTCCTTTAGAAAGCTCCTAGAACTGATAAACGAATTCAACAAAGTTTCAGGATACAAAATTAATGTACACAAATTAGTAGCTCTGCTAAACACCAACAGTGATCACGCTAAGAATCAAATAAAAAACTCAACCCCTTTTACAGTAGCTGTAAAAACAAAATAAAATAAAATAAAATATTTAGGAATACCTAACCAAGGAGGCAAAAGACCTCTACAAGGAAAACTACAAAATACTGCTGAAAGAAATTGCAGTTCACACAAACAAATGGAAACACATCCCATGTTCATGGATGGGTAGAATCAATGCTGTGAAAATGACCATACTGCCAAAAGCAATCTACAAATTCAATGCAATTCCCATCAAAATACCACCATCATTCTTCACAGAACTAGAAAAATCATACAAAACCAAAAAAGAGCCTGCATAGATAAAGCAAGACTAAGCAAAAAGAACCAATCTGGAAGCATTACATTATCCAATTTCAAACTATATCATAAAGCCATAATCACCAAAACAGCATGGTACTAGTATAAAAATAGGCACATAAACCAATGGAACAGAATAGAAAACCCAGAGATAAACCTAAATACTTACAGCCAACTGATCTTTGACAAAGCAAACAAAAACATAAAGTGAGGAAAGGACATCCTATTCAACAAAAGGTTCTGGGATCACTGGCAAGCCACATGTAGAAGAATGAAACTGGATCCTCATTTCTCACATTATACAAAATTCTACTCAAGATGGATAAAGGACTTAAATCTAAGACCCAAAACTATAAAAATTCTAGAAGATCATTGGAAAAACCCTTCCAGATATTGGCTTAGGCAAGGATTTCATGACCAAGAACCCAAAAGCAAATGCAATAAAAACAAAGATAAATAGGTGGGACTTAATTAAACTAAAAAGCTTTTGCGTGGCAAAAGGAAAAGTCAGCAGAGTAAACAGACAACCCACAGAGTGGGAGAAAATCTTCACAATCTATACATCTGACAAAGGACTAATATCCAGAATCTAAAACAAACTCAAACAAATTAGCAAGAGAAAAACAATCCCATCAAGAAGTGGGCTAGGGACATGAATAAACAATTCTCAAAAGATATATAAATGGCCAACAAACATGAAAAAAAGCTCAACATCACTAATAATCAGGGAAATTCAAATCAAAACCACAATGTGATACCACCTCACTCCTACAAGAATAGCCATAATCAAAAAATAATAGATGTTGGTATGGATGCGGTGAAAAGAGAACACTTCTACAATGCTGGTGGGAATGTAAACTAGTACAACCACTATGGAAAACAGTGTGGAGATTCTTTAAAAAACTAAAAGTAGAACTACTACTTGATTCAGCAATCCCATTACTGGGTATCTACCCATAGACAAAGAAGTCATTATATGAAAAAGATACTTGGACATCCTTGTTTATATAAGCACAATTCACAGTTGCAAAAATGTGGAACCAACCCAAATATCCATCTATCAATGAGTGAATAAACTGATATATATATGATGGAATACTACTCAGCCACAAAAAGGAATGAATTAATAGCATTCACAGCAACCTGGATGGGATTGGAGACTATTATTCTAAGTGAAGTAACTCAGGAATGGATAACCAAATATCGTATGTTCTCACTCGTAAGTGGGAGCTAAGCTATGAGGATGCTAAGGCATAAGAATGATACAAGGGACTTTGAGGATTCCGGGGAAATTGTAGGAAGTAAGTGAGGGATAAAAGGTTACAAATTGGGTTCAGTGTATAATGTTGTGGTGATGGGTGCACCAAAATCTCACAAATCACTACTAAAGAACTTACTCATGTAAGCAAACACCACCTGTTCCCCAAAAACCTATGAAAATAAAAAATTAAAAGAAAAAAAATAAAAGAAAGAAAGAAAAAAAAAGAAAAGAAAAATGAATGAGAAAGCACTCAATGAACTGATGGGGGAAGAACTCCAAGATATAGTGATAAGTGAAGACTGAGGTGCAGAATACTGCTACTCACCTGTACACTTTCATTTGTCATAAACACACTTATTTGCGTAGAGAAAACAATGAAGGATTCTCAAGAAAACAGTGTAAGTGTTTTCCCATGGGAGAAAGGGGAATGAGGCAGATTGGAGCAGAAGTAGGAAGAAGACTGTCTTCCATATACCTCTTTATATTTTTGGGTTTTGAGCGATGTAAATCTATTATTCCCCCCGCAAAAATATTTTCAGTTCTTTTTAAGTAGAATTTGAGTGTGTACCACAATGTGATTCTCAAAAAACTCATTAAAATTACATTACTCCAAGAGTTTGAAACCATTATAAAATCAACAAAACCTTTCAATGGCCCTGATATGAATACATATGCAATGAATTTTGTTAGCATATAAATATAAGAGAATGAATAAATACATTCTAAAACAATGCATTGTTCAAATGAAAATGTAGCAGTCACCTGCTTTATCAGTTGTCCTAAAAACATTTTCTCTTAGGTAGTAAATTGGACAGGTACATTTAAATATATCATTTCAGATCAGTGAAATGGTCCTAAAAATGGAGTTTATGGACAGTCGCAGGGTGTCAAAATCATCTATGGTGACAGTGCTATGGGGAATATAACTAATACAATTATATATCATTTTTGGCTTGACACAAAATTATGTTCTTTTGCTTGCCCTATATCAACTTATTTAGGGAAATCATCCTTTTACTATTCTCTCTCCTTATCTGCCTCTCTCTCTCTCTCTCTCTCTCTCTCTCTCTCTCTCTCTCTCACACACACACACACACACACACACACACACACACACATTTTGTGTAATTTAAGTGCAGCTGTCAATCAAGTGGCCCACCTCCCCTGCCTCAGAAGTAGCAAATGTTGACTGGTGTATTCCATTCTCCCAGCTACCTGGATTCCAGGGGTGAACGTAAGACCAAAGTTTGGCCAATCAGAGCCATTGGATAAGCAGTAGAGACTGTTATAGATGAATGAAACAAGAGGGTTTCTGTACTTTTGAAATTACAAGCTCTAAGAATCAGATATGCCTATAGCTGCCAGGGCATGTTACATGCCGGGGCATTTTGAAAATGAACCCAACTTAGTGAAGACAACAGGGAAATTAATAAAATGAAATTAATCATGACATTATTGATGAACACTGGATCCAGCCATGCCCTAAGCCAGTCCACCTTTGGATTTATTAACTTCATGAGCCAACGAATTCCCTCTTTTGTTGCCATTTTGAAACACAGTGCAACTGTTCCTCAATAAAATCTTTATGATTATTACCTGTACATATTCCAGTTTCTTTGGAAACTCTGGTCTTTCTTGGGATTATGTCTTAATTTACCTGGAAAATTTAGACAGTGTAGACTACGAAATTTAGGAGATTCAGAGAAATTCTTCATGTGATTAATGAATCTGGAGCAGGTCACTGAAGTTCTTTCGTAACAAGGGATGTTCTGTAAGATAGAGGAGAAAAATACACAAAATAAAATTAGGTTAATGGCTCCAAAATAATTCATGCCACCTAGCACTCTTACTTCCCTAAAGTGAGTGATATTTTTTAAATATTTTTGTTTCTTTATTCTTTAAATGAAACAATCCTGAAAACAATCACAGTTAACTCTAGTTACCTTTACATGCACATTCCTCTTATGTATTCATTAAAGAGGCTAATTAACTTAATTATTTGTTCATTGAAAAAAATCTTATTCAGTTACACTATATGCTAGATATTATTCTAGGTAGTGGGGATACAAGAGGCGAGGTCTCTGCCCTTATGAAATTGACATATTAGGGGAGAGTGACAAAAAATAAACAAATATATCTCCAATAGATTGGATGGTGATTTTTCTGTTGCTAAGATGAAAAACATAAAATAAGAGATACCTTCTCAGACAAGGTGACATGAAAACAAAGATTCACTGGCACAGATGGAGTAGCCATGTGAGGTCTTGGATGAGAGTCATTCCGAGCACTGGGAACAGCCAGTGTATGAAAGAATGGAGAGGCAGGGGATAGGGAAAGGGGTCAGAAGGTAGGGGAAAGGAGGCTCTTAAATCAAGCTTTGTCACCTTGAAATAGCAAAAACAGAAAATAAAGAGGAGAAAGAACTACAAATATCTTGGTTAAATAATATGAAATAAGGTCATAAGTAAGGATCCAATTTGATTTAAATCAAAAACTATTCATTCTAAAACCTAAAACTATAAAAACCCAGAAAGATAACCTAGAGAATACCATTCTGAACATAGAACTTCGCAAAGATTTCATGAGAAAGACACCAAAAGCAATTGCAACAAAAACAAAAATTGACAAATGGGCTCTAATTAAACTAAATAGCTTCTACACAGGAAAAGAAACTATCAACAGAGTAAACAGACAACCTACAGAATAGGAGAAAATATTCTCAAACTATGCTTCCAACAAAGGTCTAATACCCAGAATCTATGAGGAACTGAAACAAATTTACAAGCAAAAAACAAACAACTCCATTAAAAAGTGGACAAAGGACCTGAACAGAAACTTTTCAAAATAAGACATACATGTGGCCGACAAGCACATGAAAAAATGCTCAACATCACTAATCGTTAGAGAAATGCAAATCAAAACTACAATGAAGTACCATCTCACACCAGTTAGAACAGCTATTACTAAAAAGTCAAAGAATAACAGATGCGAGATTGCAGAGAAAAGGGAACACTTATATACTGCTGGTGGGAGTGTAATTTAGTTCAGTCATTGTGGAAAACAGTATGGCAATTTCTCAAAGAACTTAAAACGAATTATCATTTGATTCAGCAATCATATTATTGGATATATATACTCAAAAGAATATAAATCATTCTAACATAAAGACACATGCACATGTGTCTTCATTGCAGCACTATTCACAATAGCAAAGACATGGAATCAACCCAAATGCCTATCAATGCTGGACTGGATAAAGAAAATGTGATACATATACACCATGGAATACTGTGCAGCCATAAAAAAGAATGAGATCATGTTTTTTGCACCAATATGGATGAAGCTGGAGGCCATTATCTGAAGCAAACTAACACAGGAACAGAAGCCCAAATACCATATCTTCTCACTTATAAGTGGAAACTAAACAACAAAAAACATGGATACTAGAAGGGAAATAAGAGGCACTAGGGCCTACTTGAGGGTGGAGTGGGGGAGGAGGGAAAGAATCAGAAAAAATACCTGACGGGATACTATGCTTATTACCTGGTAAGGAAGTTATCTGTACACCAAACCCCTGTGGGTGTACACAGTTCACCATATAATAAACCTGCACATGTACTCCTGAACTAAAATAAAAGTTAAAAAATAATAATATAGATAAATAAAAACTAGTCATTAAACATGTAATCAGAACCAACTTCCCATTGGTTTGATGTGTAATTTGTATTGTTTGGATATGATTAGATATTATCGGTTCAGGTGATTTGGATATTGTATAAATTTGGATATTGGATATTAACGTATGGCTAGTACTGTTTGGATATTGTGAATATTATGTGTTCAGGATAGCATTAATTTACTGAGTCTGTACAAGGTCAACTCATCCCTGCATGAGCAATAGTATCTTACTGAAAGGGTAAGGTTTTCATCTTGTCACTTCACACGGCCTATCAGTCACCCAACTCTACCCACTCCCTGAGGAAAAGGTTTGTGTCTCAAGCCAGAAACTGTAAGCTAAGTGAGAGGGTCCTAGGAAGGCACTGGAGTGGGAACTCTCTCTTTTCCATAACTGTGGATCAAGGAGGCAGAGATGGAAGCTTAAGAAGATACACACCTCTTAAATGGCAGGAGGCAGCTGGGACTTGAGAGACCCAGTCCAGTTGTACCAGTCATGGAGCATGGGAGATTAACTAAGGAAGGGTCAGAAACCTATACTTTATAAGACTTTTTTGCTGCTAGCATTTTCTTTCTTTATATTTGCTTGATATTGAGTAGAGTCTTCTTTAAAAATCATCACAAATGAGCTAAAATAAGTGAAAGGGAGAGAATTTCTACCATTTTAAAGAGAGAAGAGTACCACAGGAACAGCAGTGATTCCAAGAGAGGGCTTGAGAGAAAGTGAAATGAGAGAAAAACTGTTTTCCTGACTTGGTTAGAGCCACCGTCCATCTGGACAGTATGTGGGCATGGGCAATCTTGGAGGTGATAACTCAGAGCATGGGCTGTAGAATCATGTAGGTCCACATCCAAGCCGCATCTCCACACCCCGCTCTCTATACAAGCCGGGGCAACTTACCTTCTCTATTCCTGTTTCCACCTTTACAAAATGGGGCGAATGCTATCCCACAACAACTATTACCCCCATTTTACACATAAAAAACTAAGTAACTTATCAAAGCTATACAAGTACTAAGTATTGAAAGCAAGTCTCAAATCCACTCTTTCCTACTCTAACGCCCATGTTTTTAACCCCATTCCATACTGCTTCCCCATTTTAGAATAAGCACAATATAAGTATTCAAAAAGAACCTAGAAGATCACCGTGGCCTCCTCACAGTCAGCAACCTAAGTGTCCAAAACAGAAAGCATCCAAAACAGAAAGTGTCCAACGTAAGTGTCCAAAACAGAAACTAGAAGATCACCCTGGGATCCACTTCCTCCCTTATCCCTCAGATCTATGCACAACCATTTCCTGTCAACCTCACCCTCTCAATGTCCTCCAGTCCCATTCCCATATCTGCAGTCCTCCGCCACCTATTAGCATCTCCATCCACATCCCTGCTTGCAGTTCACCTCCATTGAATTTTCTTTCTCGCATTATCTTTCTAAAACCCAAGTTTAAATATGGCACTGGCCTTCTTAATAGTGTTCATTGATTTCCCACCATTTAAACAGTGGTTCTCAAACTGTACCATGCATAAAAATCACCTGGTGAAGATGTTAAAATGCAAATTTTGATTCACATATGTCTAAGGGGATAAGCCCAGGCATGTGCACTCTTAGCAGTCATCCTGGGTGACAGATACAAGTGATCAACTTCTCGTTTCTCCAAGTGTGGCTCAGGACCCAGCATCACCAACATCACCTAGGAGCTTGTTAGATATGAAGATTCTCTGGCCTCACCCTAAAACCTACTGGATCAGGATCTGAATTTTAACAAATCCCCAGCCCATCACACTCTGACCTAAAGAACAAAATGCAAAACTCTATGGTATAGGAGGTTGGTCATGACCCACCATCTATTTATCTCTTGCCCCCAACCCCATCTCACAGGACTCTCCTCTCTGTGATCCAAGTGTGACAAAGTAGGAAAACTGAGGCACCAAAAAGCTAAGGCAGTGAGTCTCAGTTTCTTCATCTTGGTCAGCCCAATGCCCAGCACATAACAGTCCCTGTTATGTGCATCCTGCTGCTTCATTGATATGTTTTGAATTTGACTGAATGGAATTAATGTATGTTTTAAAACAAATGTTGAAATGCAGTATTATATTCAAATTGCACCTTTCATCAGGGTATGATTTACTGAAATGAAAAGGAATGAATGCAGACAAAGGCACTCCATATCATGGACCTGATGCATTTTACTCCTTAAAACACCTTACATTTCTTCGTTGAGCAGGGGAGACAGGTACTGATTCCTCTCTGTGAAGACACTGTGGCTTTTAGTTGATTCACTGCCTGAAGTCAAACCCATGCTCTATATATGAAAGCACAACCCCACCTTCTTTTTTAAGATGAGCAAACTTTCACCACAAAGATACAAGAACAGTAAATATTGATCTTCTGGACGGATGGCGCACCTCACGCCACAGGCCACTCAAGCATCTGCTCATTACCACCAGCCCTCCCCTTTGTTGGGAAATAATGCCAAGTGGCCTCATGTGCTATCGGCTGTAGATTGCAAATATTTAAAAGAAATAAATTTCTCTGAATGAAAAGCACCTTTCTTTGTTATCTAGCCCCCTCTCCTCCCAAGTCATGTTGATTTTGGGGTTGTGCACACTCCCAGCACCTGTACTTTTCAATTGTTTGCCTGCCAAGAACAGTGTGGTTTTCTTGCTTGGTTTTAGAAGCCATTCTAAGTACAGTAGCCAATGAAGGCATATTTTCTTTCTCTCTTGGCACTATGTAAAGGAAGTTTCAACTTTAGGACACCTAGCAGCAACTGTAATTAGAGGACAAGGAAAGAAATTGGAGTTTCTCCATCTCAGTATTTGTCCCACATGATCATGAAAAATGTACCACCCCTGCAGACCAAAACCAAAAGTGTAGGTTTCTTCAACAGTCTTATTATTTGGCAGAAAGTTTTCTAAATTGGTTTTGCTGAAATCCAGAATCATTCTTTAGTGGAAAAGTAAGATCTGGACAATAAGACAAGAATGGAATTTCCGCAAGTGGAAAATCAATTTGTGATTGAGAATAGCCACTAGGTATACAAATCCAAGTGTCTGAATATATAAATGTTGGATCAAACTATTATTTCCTCTAC